AACTGACAGGAGCTTTGTAGAGTGAAAACAAACGTTTGTATCAAATAAAACTGTTTAAGTGCTACTATATAAATGTTTGATGAAATAACCTAGTCTATCCTAATCTACCATCTCATCCCATTAAACAAAAAAATTTCTGGGTCTTCATACTAAGAGTTTGTTGCTGTGCTTTTGTTCAACAGACACTTATTAACCACCTATGATGTGTTAAGTGCTCCTTTAGGTGCTGATAATACAGTGGTAAAGCAGAGTTTCTGGAACCACAAGGCGCTTCATTTTTCAGTGGGAAAGTCAGATAATAAACATACAATTTTCAGGGTGGTAAATGCAGCAAAGAACAGAGAACTTACTTCTTGATCTTGTCCAGTTTTCAGACAGTCTCATCCCTGGCATTGCCTTACTGCCCACCTTGATCAACTCAGATCCTATACTCCATCATTATGTCCATGGTCCTGTCCATATTCCCAGATCACTGGCCATTTATTATTTATTTATTTATGCATTCATTCATTCACACAAGAACTGGGGTCAGGCCAGAGGTGTGGGGTGAGAAGATTCACCAGAGACAGAATGGGGAGCAGAATAGGCCGATGTCCTGAAATATACTGCTGAGGGGAGCAGCAGGAAGGTCAGGAGAAGTCTACTGTGTCATGTAGGTCACCTCCCTGGGGTTCGAACTTGTGCTGCAGTGGCTACGGCTGATTAGCCTCATAATGCTGTTTTTTTTTTAAATATTTATTTACTTATGCATATGAACTGGGATATAGGCCAGAGGTACAGAGGCATGAGAGAATTCACCAGAGACAGAGTGGGGAGCAGAACAGGCAGATCAACGAATTACACTGCTGAGGGAGCAACGGGCTGGTCAGGAGAGGTCTGCCACGCCATGTGGGTCACCTGGGGGCGGGGATAGAACTCCTGCCGAAGTGGCTTTAGCCTTAACCCACTGTGCTTTAACCTGCGCCACCAGGGAGGGCCCTCACTGGCCCTTTTCTCTTTCCTTCATAAGTACTAGACAAAAGCAAGTCTTTGACATCTTTGCACCTTTCTACCTGGTGACCGAAAATGGCTGGATACAAACCATATGCTCAGCAGTTAGTTCTCCTTTTGACTTCTTGGCCACTAACTTGAAGGGGAGCTCCTTGCAGCTGCCTGGCAACTCTGATTTTCCCTAATCCACTCATCACCTACATTTCTCTCCTGAAATCTCCAGCAGTCCTCTCCCACATTTCCTCACTGTCAATTATTTTGCTCCTGATTTCAGTGACAAAGGTGGAATGACTTCTAAACCTCCACTATATCTGCTAGCCTCCACCTAGCATCATACCCGTAACTTCTGTCATCTTTCTTCGTACTATGAGGAAGCTGACCTTCCTCCCACCTGAAGGGCACTAGGACTCATTTTCCTCTCACCTCCTACAGTAAATGTGGAGATGAGTCACCCAGCCAGCACTCCTTTCAAGCAAGGACTCCCTGCCCAGCTGCAGAGCCCATGGTCAGTGGGCAGCCTCCAACTGGCAGCTCTTCAGGGTGTGCCACAGCTGTGAAGCCACCTCACTGGGGTCATGCCCTTCCTGAGGGCAGCCAGCCAGCAGGCCAGACAGGACACCTTGAAAAGCTGTACTCACTCACGAGCTCCAGAGGGGTTGGCTGAAGCTTTTCCAGCCCAGCTTCACTGCTGGACTCTTCCTCTACCCAACTTAACTTCTCCCCCCTTTGTTTCAATACCTATTGATCCCTAAATAATATGCAGTACCGCAAATTCTGCTTCAGCATCTGCTAATAGAGAACCTAATTGACATGATTTAGGTTGGCCCTGGCTATTATTCCCCACTCTCTTTCATGATCAATTTCCCCTTCTCTGTGAACTCACCCCCAACATCATATAACACAAAGTAGGATTGCCAATTCCTGCTCCACTTCTCCACTCCTCTCCACAGCAGAATTTCTGGAAAGTGTCTGCATCCATTTCTTGCTTCTGTGTCTATATCCCCATTCCTGGCAGCTTCAGACTCAAGACCTGCCCCAAATTGCTCTTGTTGGTGACTCTGATAACTCTGGGTCACCAGGTCACCAAGGCCATTGTTCTAACCAATGGTCAATTATCAGTTCTCCTCTCACCTGGTATTTTAGCACGTTCTGATCCAGCTGACCACTCTCCTCCCCCTTCATAGATACTTCTTAATCATTCAGCTTCTAGAACTAAACTTGCACTTGATTTTCCTCCCACTTTTCACGGCTCATCCTCTTCACTTTTGCTGGTTCTTCCTTGCCTGACCCTCTCAATACTGAGAGCTGAGAGTCCAATTGTCACCCTCTCCTCATCACTACCTACATTCACTCTTGATGATCTCATTCAGTCTTGGGGCTTTAAATACCAACTACACAACAGCTAAATTTACATCTCAAGCTAGAGCTCCTTCCCCTGAATGCCAGACTCTCCTATCCAACTGCCTGTTTTGATGCTCCATTTAGATGCTAACAGGAATCTCAAATCTAACAGATCTAAAACAAATTAAATGATTCCCCTTCTCCAACTCTCCCCAAGACAAAGAAAATAGCTCTGCTCTATCCCTAACCCCTGAGGTCTTCCTCATCTCAGTAAATGATTATTCTGATCTTCTGGTTCTTGAACCAAAAAATCCAGTCATTACCGACTCCTTTTTGTCCTTATCCCCCCACATTTGATACTTCAGTAAACCCTCTAGACTCTGTCTTATTTGTCTTTACTGCTCTTGTTTCCTTAAAGAGTTTTCAGGCCCTCCCTGATGGCACAGTGGGTTGAAGCACAGCACTAGGAAACTATCCACAGACACTGCAGCAAGAGTTCGATCCCCAGCCAGGGAGGTGACCCACATGGCATGGCAGACCTCTCCTGATTCCAACAGCTGCTTCCCACAGCAGTGTACTTCACTCCATCTGCCTGTTCTGCTCCCCACTTTTTCTGATGAATCCTTTCATCTCCTGCACCTCTGGCTTGTACCCCAGTTCTTGTATGCATAAATAAATCTTTAAAAAAGGTTCTTTTCAAATGTCATCTTATTAATAAGATCTTCCTTAATCATCAAACATATACAATACAACCTCACCCACCCTACTAGTGCTTCCCAGCTCATTTTATTGAGATTTGGCATGCAATATATTTGCATCTTTATTTGTTCATTGTCTCAAAGGTAAACTTTGAGAAGGCAGAGACTTAGTCCTGCTCTCTAGCTCCTAAATGAGGGGCGGAGAGTAGGTGTTTCATAAACGTTTCTGAAAGAATGTAAAAGGAAGAGCGATGAAGCACTTGGCCATAGAGCTAAATGATGTGAAGGTGTAAATCATTCAAACATTTTGAAGGAAGAACAGTCTAGTCAGAATAAAAGAAAAGGTCAAGGATAAGGAGCTCCCCTTAGTAGGGGGAACATCAAAGAAGGCTGATATTTAAAAAGAAAAAAAAAAGGGTTTCTTTAACTGCTGTGTGATGTTCGGAGGTGGGGGTTGGCATGGTGGAAACCATCTGACCTGTGAGAGACCACGTTGAAATGCAAGCATGAGAGTGGACAGGATTTCAACAGCATCGGGAGAGTGTGAAGTGGTATAAAATCTAGCATAGCAATGACAGGACTTGCTTGTTTTGGATAAGTGCACAAAACGAAGTCAGGATTTGACAAAAACGTTTCACTTCTGCTATGTAACCGGGAGTTCGTTGGGGCAAAGCGACCTGACCCTGTTTCCATTAAGTCCGCTGAATAACTGAATAAAGGGATGCTTGGGCTAGCTAGTGCTTGAGGAGTTGGGAGAAAAAATAAGGGCGTCACACACGGAAAGGGGAAGCCAATGGGGGCGGGTGGGGCGGTAGTGTTCCCTTTTAAATCTGCTGAATTGCAAAGCTATCTGCGGGGCCGGCCTAGGACAGGGGGTTGGGGTGGCCTGGGAGGGTGGGGAAGAGGCTGAGCAACGGTGCATTTCCTCTATTCTATCACGCAATTTTCCTTCCCGTTCAGAGGCCGGGAATGTGATTATGTCTCGGGGCCGGCCCTTGCACGTGTCAGGGGTTTCCTTCACGGTGCACCTAGTTAGGCATGGACCCTCAAAAACACGGGAGTCGTCACCGGACCCCGGGGACCCAGACCTGTACTGAGTCATCCCCGCCAGTGCTACAGTGCACCGCGACTTCCCGGGACGCAAACTTCTTTTCCACCGCCCGCCCGCCCGTCCCCGGCCCGCGGCTGCTCTTCCTCTTTCCCGGGATCCGATCGTGGGGGCAATACACACGCGCCCCCCCGCGGCTCCGCGCGTCCAGGCCG